CAGCAGGAGTTCTTCCAGAAATGGGGTTTAATCTTAAATATGAATTATTAACCAAATTTTCTCTTTTCAATAAGAGCTATAGTCCAAGTAACCAAGACGTTTTGCTAAAGTTGTTACTTTGAAAAATTTCTGAAGACTTTTCAAAGCCTAGCACTTTGAAGAAAAGCTTTCAAAATTGAGAGCAATTCTGTATATTTTACAAAGACTATGCTAGACTGGCAGGGCTTATTCTAAGAGTGCTTTGAAAGTACTACAGTCCCATATAAGATGTAAATTATACTTTTTATTTTTCTTAACACTGTTGTCTATATTTGGCCCCTTGAGCGGGCTAAAAATATGGGTTATGAGTTTTGGAAGTTGGAAGAGCCTTGTCTGATATCTTTATCACTGAAGTGCCAACATGACGGAAACAAAGTACAGTGCAGCATAGTGGTGTAACAAAAATATAAGCCTCGAGCAGATGTGGTGTCATTTTATAAAAGATTGGAACCTATTATAAAAGCAAGAGGAAAAAAGAAAGCAGTATTACAGTCATTACCAGGATATCTTCCTATGACACTATAAAAGGGAGATTTTGCCTTTGGTTACATGCAAGGTGCTTGCTCGTGGCAGATCTTGGTGGGTCCTCTCCAGCTGAGAAATTCGGACCAAACTAAGAGCATCTTGTGTTACCTGTGAACTTATCTGCTTAAAAGAGTTTGCTCTCGAGCTCCTCCATCCCTGCCCTTTTGTTTAGGGCGTTTTTCCTGTTCTTCAGGCATGAAGTTTTGTGAAAGAGTGGGAAAACATTGCCTGTTTTCTATCTTGCTGAATGATACTCTTGGGAGACAAATTTCCTGCCTGCCCCGCACTGGTATTACAATGTTCCTAATAAACATAGTGCTTTCATAGCTTTATATTTGATTTTGCTGAATTTGCATTCAATTAAAAATCAAATGCAGTTGCAATCACTACTTATGATTTCAACTAAAAGAATGGTTTTATGAGATGGGAATAAAATGGGAGTGACATTTTAAAAGAAATTAATGGAGTTCCCGATACTAGAAGCTTACTTTGCGTTACGACAGAGCGAGCGTAAAACCTTTTTTTGTGCTGCGTGGAAAACACTACATCACAAACAGGACCCCTATCTGCAGAGCATGTCCTGCCCTGGAGGACTGCCTTTAAATCACTTACTCTTCTGGAGAACGACTGAATCAAGTTCTTGATAAATTGCTCACTGTAATATAACATGCTATTTTAACAGTTTTTACAGCCATCTCACTAATAGATGATAGTGAAGATCAGCCCCAGTAATTTTTGTGTATATGCTACTTAATCATAGTGTTTAAAGGGGAAGCTATACAATAAACATCTAATGAATAGCTTAAGGCAAGTTTATTCTCAAAAGTTATGCAACTATGTTGGCACAGATCAATATAACTATTTATCCCAAAATTGTCAGCATTTAAAAAATGTAGTCATCACTTACGCATGTCACTCATTCCCAATGTACATTAGATATGAGTTGGTTATAACAGTTTAAGAAATTTGCAACCTAAATCAATATATATTATTCATAATGAATACGTTCTGTTCTAGAAAAGGATGTATTAGGAATTAAACCATTATTAAATATTTTTAAGGTTATAATCTTTGTCTTGTAGAGGAATGACTTTGCATAAGATATAAAAGAAATTGTCATGGATTATTGTTAAAGGAATTCTTTAAAGAAGTGTTTTTTTTAAGGGAGTCGTGCAATATAGATTGAGTTATATTCTGTAGAGATAGACCGTTTGGCTTCTTGCCCAAAGCAAAGCTTTCAAATCAATCCATGGAAATAATTAAAGAATGTATAATACTTTGGTGCCCATAATTGTTGTTGTGCAGAGCTGTAAGTTTAGCTCTACTATGCATGTTGTGCAGCTGTGACAAAAATGTGTGTACACAACAGAGACTGAATTTTCTTTGCTATTTGCTCATGTTAATCTTATGCTACTATATGGTGTTTCTTGTAGCCTTATTTCTTTCTCCATAGTACCTAAATAGAGTAAAAAGAGTATTACATTCTGCAAAAATAGAGTATTATATTCTGCTTTGCAACCATAAGCTGTATGGAATTATCCCTGACTTGTTTTTTTACTGTAACAAATATGACCATTTATGTAAACACTAAATATATAATTGATAGGTTCTCCATCGCTATTCAAATAGCATCTTAATGTGAAGTCGTAACTTCACAATACTCTAGAAAGGGATGTATTGTGTACCCCCCTTACCCTTATTGGGGAGCTTGGGTATCACCCTTTCACCATCTAGAGAGATCAAACAGTAGCTTGTGTGGCAAGGCTGAGAATTTATGTAGCAGAAGTGAGATCTGTACAGCCCAGATTGCAGTTGCCCAAATAATTATCCTTACTGATCAGCTGTTCCTGGGTCAGATGGCCTGGGTGTTTGCGAGGGATCAGGGATCTCGGGATTCCTTTTTTGCAAATCCAAGGTGGTTTATTTTCCTTTAGTTGGAGACACATAGTAACTGTTAGTTGCAACAGGTCCTACAGAACTTTTTTCCCAGTAATTTTCTGCTTATTGGCTGACCCAGCTGAATTTATATATTAGATTTATTAAATGTCTGACTAGCCATAAGCTGCAGAAAACTAAGCAGGCAACCAAAGTGAATAGGAAGAAAGCCCCTCTCCTTACTAGTTTTCCTTTCTGATATTTGAACAGATCCAAAAGCATTTATATTACTTTCCCATTTATACATTTAACTTCAGGATCTTTTGAATGCCAGAGATCACTCTAGCTAGAACAGCCACCAAGATCAGCCATCCACGATTTAGATATATGCAATGTTATTTAGGTGGTAGTAACATCATCAATTTTTTAATTGTATGTGGGATTCACCGTATTCTATGCCAGTTTTATTTCAGATTTAATTCTAGGACGTACTGCACTGTGTAATCCTTTTGGATTTCCGCAACTGTTGCGTTTGGAGCCATCCTACTAGTGCAGAATTCCAACAGGAGTAAACATATGGGGATTCTTCCGTTGTTGGTTTACCCCAGCATTTGTTCCAAGTTTTAAACCAACTGGTGCTGTACCCAGTGGAGTACATCTGTTACAGTTTATTACTAGAAATTTGCAATTCATTTCAGAGCTTACTAAAATAATTATAATATTCACGGCCAAGAGTACTGTGTTAAGCAATTAGGAAAGATGGGCAGAATTTTACTAAAGTCCTGTGCTTCAGGAGCTAATGTCCAGTTTGCACAAGTGTTTTGGGCGCTCAGTAGCCTGTCAACAGCAAGTGAGATGCTCTGACAAGTGAGTTTGAGAACTCAGCTTGAGAAATTAGGGTGGTAACTGAGATGCTGTAAATGACATCCCTTATGTGAGTGACCCTGTTCTATTTTAATTAAGAATGAAACAATTTAGCATAAACCACCACTGAATGCAGTTGGCTGCCACATCTTGCCTGCGGTCCTCAGCTGAGGAGCATCCAAAAACAGAATGGGGCTTTTACTGTTGGAATTGTTGGGGCGCATCTGATTGACCTTCGCTATGGTCCAGAGGGTGTAATAGTGGGAAGGCTGCTAAATCATCTAAGTCTGTTTGAATATTGTACCCTGTGTTTTTTGCGTCTCGGTGCTTCCGACAAGATGGAAATTACTATATTGGATTATGTTTCTATTTATTTATTTGCAGGTAGAGTTTTCAAGTAGGTGAGATTTCCCTTGTGCTTTGTGGGAGGAATGAATTACTGATTAGTCTTGAGTAAGCATTAAATAGTTAACTAGCACATGAACCCTTTGCATTAAAGTCTCCATAACCATCTCTGCAGAAAAAAATCTTTGTATATAGAGCAGACTACTTTATCACCCACTTGAGCAGACTTTTGAAATAAGGAAACATCCTGACATATTTGTAACCCCATCGTATTCATCATTTTCAGTCTCCATATCTCTGTAAGTCAGTCTCGCGCATCTTTGACATATGTAGTAACAGTATAAGCACACCCCTTTCACTACAATGGAGAAGTACAGTGCTAAAGTCAAGACGTTAAAAGGAAGACTTGCAAATCCAATTCCAGGAGCTACAATTAATTGTATTGCTGTTTTGGGTCTCTAGCAGAGACGTGAGTCTGATCTGGCAGTTGCGTACCATTCACATGGACCCCCGGACTTAATGGGCTCAGTTTTGGTGCTAGAAACCTGTCACTTTGAAGAAGAGCTTGTGTTCCAAAAGGCCTATTTTTTTCCATGTTATGCTAGTCTAATGAAAAAGATTAGACTTCATCCTGCCTGTGTCTTCAGCCTGTCACTGCTGGTTAAAAGTATTGCTATATTCCAAACATTGTTTACGTCCTTGCAAATAAAAGCATGATAAGAGAAATAAAATTACTTCACAGTGAAGTTAACTCACCAGTTCACTAGGTGTAGAAACCTGCCCTGTGAAGAGGAAATTGGAATTTATACTGAAATGATGAAGCAGCCATACCTAACCCTGCTGTTTTAAAATCTTTTTACTTCTTTGCTGCAAATAAAACTTGTAAAGTAAAGCAATGTAATGAAATAGAATTACATGTTTTCATATACTGTATCTAATAAATATCCAGGAATGGAAACCATTATCAGGGAGACAGGACTGGCCACTAGATATCACAATGTCCTCTAGCAGTCCTAGAAGTGCCTTTAAAGGTTCAAAAGTTAAATGGTGTGCATAACACATCTGACTAAATTCATACGAATTTAGTCTATAGTACTGAGTCATTTATTTTTGCTTAGTTCTGTAAATAAGTCTGAGGGTGGTGTGATGGTTTAAGAAACTTTGAACTTATCATGTTTTGGAACTCTCTGTTTATATTTTAATGTTCTGTTCCTTCTGCAGAACATTCTGGCTTTAAATCCCCGAACGCAGACTCATGCAACCCTTCATTCAACTGCAGCAAAGAAACAAGTCAAGAAGCAGTGGAAAAGGAATTCTGATAAAAGCTGTTCAGTAAGTACACACTTACTATTGTATCTGGAACATGCAATAAATCATTAAGGTTGACATTTCAGTTGTATGAGCAATTTAGATTTGCGTTTCCTGTGTTGTTAAGTGGCCAAATTTGGCTCATAGTTCTGTTTCTGTGGATATAAAAGTGCTTTGTCATGGGTAACCTGCACTACTTCAGAACCTGTTCATGCCATGCCTTCTACCTTTTGGTGATTTGGTGGGTCTTTGATGCAACTGTTTCCCCTTTTGTTATAGTGGCTGATCAGTCTTAAGCCTCATAGCCGGCTTGTGGAGCAAGCCGTTCTCGCTAGGTAGAGGGCATCAGCTACCTCATCTGTTTCCTGAAGTGTTTTGGACCAATTAATTGCTCCTTTTGTTCCTGTTTTCCAAGAGTAACTCTGAGTAATGTTTCACAGTCCTTCCTGAGACATTTAAAGGTACTATTATTTCAGTACAGAAATAGGGGAACCCACTATACATATAAAGATATACACATACACATATATCTGAGATTAGAATCTAACTCCAGATCTTAGATTTTATGCATTATATTTTTCAGGGAATAAGTTTTTTTAGAATAAATATTTTCTTCATAAACTGGCTAATTTTTTCAGTGTTCCTGCTGTTAGCTATCTTTTTCTCTCTAGGTATTTAGGTTCCTGATCTCAGTGCGATATTTGACTAATCCTATCAGAATTTGTTGTCTCTTTGATCTTTCAGCTGATTAGAAAGCCTGTAGTATATGTCTGCTGTCTTCCTACAAATTCTGCTGCGTAATCCTCTAAACTCGGAGGACTTTCAGATAGGGTACTACTTCATCTCTGTAAACTATTTCCCTCTTGGGTATAATGTTACGATATCTTTTCATAGTGTTAGCAAAAGACTGCTGCTAAGTAGGAAAATAAAAGTTTCATAGTTGACACTGACTTATTTAAAAAAAAAAAAACAAAAAACCCAAAGTTTCTCAGTTTCTCAAAATCAAAGGAATCCAGTTTCTCCTTTCTGTGAAGACATAACACACCACCAGCATTAACTGCTGGGAGGAGCGACCCAGGGTATCCTCAGTATTTCAGACTTACTCTAATATATTTTCTGATTTTCTAACATTAAAAGAAGGCCTATCTTATCAAACCCTAGCCAATGTTTGTTTGCTTATTTTGTTTATCAAGTTATATAATGCTGTATTAATTGGAAAGTAGCATAGATGCAAGGCTTCAGTTTGTGAACAGAGATGATTGTTTTGGGATGTGTGATACAGTTATTGCCCACAGCTGTCTGTTCCTGCTGCACAGATAGTTGAGCTGCTCAGGCAGCGGCTCCTGGACAGCTGTGATTTACAGCCTTATCTTTTCAGGTGACCTGAAATCAGTTCTGAGCTGTAAACTCATGTGTTTCAGAAACTTTGTGATAGAAGTTCGGGTATCCCTGCAACAGGGCAGGCAGATGCCCACGTGTAGTATCCTCATCAGATATTCCAACAGAAATTATTCTGGTTAGCTCAAACTGTAGCATATATACACTTATATACCCTGCTAGTGGATATTACACATGTACACACACACCACTTTATAAAGCTGGTAGCCTTTAAGATCACTCTTAGTTATCTGTAAGCTTTCGGCCGTATCAGCCATTTCCTTGTTTGATTTTCGTATTCAATTTATTCATACATAAAATGTCTGCTATTTCAGGATTTTGTTGTTAATCATGAAAGCGCTTGACTTTCTAGAAACTGTCTCTCCTCCCACTTTCTTCCTCTTAGTCTGGTATACCTCATTGTGTCTCAAAAGCTCTTGGGGCCTCAAAGCCTGAACTTCCTGGGCTGTGCAAACAGCTCTGGTTTCAGGTTTGTTGCTAGTTTGTACTCCTTGGCTGAATTTTCATTTGCAAAAAGATTCTGAATGTCATCGAATGTTGCATGCTGATGCCTTTGCATAGATTTACAACCTAATCAACAGCACGGTCTTGGAGATCTGTGGAGTTAGGACCTTGCACTGACAAAGGTCTGCACGTGTCTTGCACCATACACCTTACAGTTTTGAAGATCAGAGGTAATCAGAATATGCATATCTGTATAAGATTAGAGGTAATCAGAATATGCATATCTGTATATGTGCAGTGCTTGATCACAGGTGGCTCTTGCACTGTATGTTGTGAATTGTCTGGTAGAAATGTCATGTTACTTAGTATGCAAGTAATGATAAAAAATGTAAAATGCTGGAATAAACTGTGAAGGGGCAGTCAATACTTTTAAGCCAGTAATGGTCCTAATTTTTAGGACTATCAAACATTTTTCTTTATTGAGAAATGTGTAATTGATTTTACAGTGCAAGATTTAGTACCCAGTTTATTCTTCCAGCAGAAAAACTCTACAGAACCAAAATAATTAAACCTAAACATTTGTCTGGTGTCCCATAAAGGATGCTAGCAGAAAGTAAGGCTTTTTTTGTTTTCCAGATCACCATTGATAAGAAGTTGCAGTAAACAAGGAAAATGATAAGATCCTTTCCTAGCAGCCTTAAATTAAAGAAGCTAATTCAGGAAAACATTATGTTGAGTGTATTTTTGAGTCATGGTCTAAAAAGCCATTGGCAGTAGTATTTAGGCCTATTTATGAACAGGTCAAACTTTATTTGGAGTCCACAGGAAGTACACATGCTTGCATTTTCTTAAGGTCTGCATTTGGCTTCTAGCTCTAGGTTCTTTTGAAGCTGTACTGATGCCTGTGTAGAATTACTGTTGGAGGGAGGGTGGGAGTATGAAAATACAAAACTAATTAAATTAACAGCCCTCCAAACTCTGAACAAAAGCTGCATCTGCTGAGGCATACACACAGTGACTTTGTAATGTCTAATATACTTCCAGATGGCAGACTTACATATTTCCTCAGAATAATTACACAAGTGAAATTTTAACTCCTAGCCTTCTCGGAGGCACTTGTGGTTGCCTATTAAATGAGTTCTAAAGTAGAAACTAAGTGTCAATACCTTTCCTCAGCACTGGAAAAGCCTTCTCCTAAGGGAAGGTTCAATTATGCCTAATAATAAGAATTATTATTTTTCTGTGTTAGCAACCAGATTTTGGTCTAAAATCAATTTATAGCAGTAGATGCAAGATCAGTCAGCTTTCCTTTAGAAACTGAAATTCTGATTTAGATTAGGGTGTGTAAACTCCTCATTGCTGAGTCATCCTGGGTAACAGGGCTAAAGCTAAGCCTTACTGCTCGGATGATAACGCCTGAGTCATGCTGACGGGTAGTGTCAACAGATTACACCAGCATGTGGGGGGAAATAAGTGTTCCTGTTGGTCATGAGAAATTAAAGATAGCCATCTCAGAGCTTTTCTGTTTCCACAGTAATAGTGGATCTTAGAAGAGGCAAAATTTTTGCCATTATGTGTCAATTTACAGAAAGAACCTAAGCAAAAGAATGAACTGTGGATGCTGCAAGGACTCTGCTCATTTTCAGGGTTTTCCTAGGTAATCAGAATTGTTTTAGATGTTTGATTTATTTTTTGATATAAAGTTTTCTCATTTTGAGTAGTGACATCACACACAAATACATATGTATATGTATGTTTTGCTTTGGTAGCCATCTCTCTGTACTTTATATTCTCTATACTTTGTCTCTCTGTACTATTTATTTTTTGCTTGTTCACCTTTAAATCATGAATTTTGGGGCATTGTGTGTGTTTGCATTGTTCCTGGCGTAGTAAAGTGCTTGCCTATGGATAGCATTTCTAGGTGTTATTGCCTAAGTTCTGCTTTTACGTGTATAGGTGCAGGCTTGTGGCGTTGGGTTCCAATTCTGTCAGCTTTTTATAAATTCACTAGTCACTGCAGAATTTGGGATACTGTATTCCAGCCTTTTTTGCTAAAGAAATGCTGGAAGCACCTACCAAGAGTGGATGAAAAGATGATGCAAACTCACCTGTAGATTCAGACTTTTTTCAGTTTCTGCCCTTAAATAACAGTAGAAGTTGCTCCAGATGGAAGAGTTGGAAGTATTTCAACAAGACAAGAAAGGCAAAGAGGAAATAGGGCTTAAATTGGTTTGTAGTTAATTGCCATCGCCTGTAACAGTATTGATTTTCTGGCAGTAGTAGCATTGTTCTTTGTCCTTACATTTGCTAAGCCTGATCAGCATTGTGCAATACTGGCCTCTTCCTTGAACAAAATAATTTTTGAGCTGTTTCTTGCAGGGGCATTACTTTTGGACAAGATTCTTTAATTGTTCTATAGTTCTTTTCAGCCATTGGAGAACCAAATTCTTCATCTTATCTTTTTCTGTAGAACTTTAAGGTATGACTACCAGATTGTTCTGTGCTAATGGTGGAGAGCAAGGCGTGCAATTTACTGTAAGATACAACAGACTGTTGCTCTTTAAATTCAGAGAGCAAGGTTTCCTCTCTTAAAACAGTAATAATGAGCATTTGCTAAAGCTTCGGACTGCTTTTCACTGTGATACCATCTCTGTTGCTGTAAATGCTGTGCGTGAACATCTGTAAAAAGGAATTCTTATTAACAGAAAAGTTTGTAATGACCTGTTTTTATACAAATGTCCATATTTACCTACGGAAACCTGTAAGAAATATGCTTTTTCAGCTATAATCAGATTGTTCTTTTAAGGATTGTCATCTGGTCAAATAGATGGAAAAATACCACATGATTTTTGTGCCCCATCAGTTGCAGAGTAATCAAGTTAGAGTTCACAAGTAACTGGATTGAAGCAGAAATTATACAACTTGCAAGCAAATAAACATGAAACCCAGTTCACCCAAAGCCTGAAATCAGAAAGCCTAATGAATAAATGCTTTTTCAGTGAATAATTTGACCATTTCTAGAAACATATTGATGAAAGATTATATATTTATAAGTAAAAATCATCCCAAATGTTGCAAAATAGAGAACACTCATTAAAGGAAATCAACTCAATTATCTTCATAATCTAAATGTATAGTTTACCTTTACAAAATATTTATTTTTGTCTTCATTGCATATGAAT